GAATCACTGTCTGGTTCTAATGGCTGAGCACAGGTAATTAGTGAAAACTTTTGGCAAAGCTTTCTCCATTCAATGAGCAATTTCAGAAAGTCTTCTGCAGCTTCGTTTCTCACCTGCTCAACATCCAAGAAATCTTTTTGATTACATGTGTGAACATTTTATCTACATTCCTAACACATTATACAAAATAAGCACAATAGAATTACCTCAGTTTCAGGATGATTAAGTTTCAAGCTTTCACAAGCGAAACTATTGGTATCCACTGCCCATTTCTGCAAAATCAGAATTAGCTAAGTAAGTCTTGCTCAAATAGAACAAAAATGTTGATTTGGAACACGTTTAGTATAAAACAATGAGTATCCATGAAAAATTGCATACCGTAATCAATTTTACTCCTGAGAGGGAAGCCCCCGCACACAGCCCAGTGGACATAGCTCCACATCCACAGTACAGGTCCAGTAAGAATTTTTCATTCTTGTGCGGAGTTTCAATGCAATTAGAGTCACATTCACTTGAAATTGTTGATGATGCCTCACCATCTGTTTTTTTTGGCAAGACAGAAATCATCAGTTTTCTTCAAAACACTATGAATAATGTTAATACGAATACGAATGATAAAACTACAGAAACCAAAGCTTGTAATGACTAACTAAGGTAGAAAAAATAAGAAAGTGCTCATATAAAAACCAAGTCTATGATAGCAATTCAAGTACCATCAGTTGCACTTGAAAAGGTCAGGTGTGCCAGCTCATAGTTCATATCATAGTAGAAATCACATGGCGGTATGATTCTCTCTTCAGTTCCTGAAGCAATCTGTTGTAAGAAAAAGAAAAAAACGCATTCGTAATTAGTCAAAGCACTAAACTTTTCATGCATTGTGTCCCATTTGAATTTCAGAGTAAATCGATACCTTTGGTGGAACTTTAACAATGTTAACACGAGAGATAATGCAATTGAGGGGATTATCATCCTCAACATTCGAAAGAAACACTCTATTCGATTGCACGTGATGCGCAAGGCCTTGGATTACCTAGTGAATAAAAAAAACAAGAGCATCAAATTAGCAGGAGCAAGAGAGACATTTGTACCAAAAGAAAACTCAAAAGCAATAACATCTCACCGTATCCTCTGGCCTATAGAACCAACGCGCTCTAAAATACGGTTCTCCATCAATTGCTTGGAAAAGTTCGACAATTTTTGCAATGTAATTCGGCTTACCCGCTTCAGCCTGCATACAAAAAATAACCCTTTGTATATAAGATACATTTGCATCAATCTCCATATCCATAGCAACAAAAATGTACCAACTTAAAATCTCAAAGAGAAGGAGGTTTTACAAGGACAATAACCATGGAAAATCAAGAAATTTTGGGTAAATCTAATGCAAAGCAACAGAAATAGAAATCAAACATGTACCTTGACATAGACATCGTCTCCGAGATTGAAGAGAAATCCATCAACCATAGCTTGGAGGTAATGATGCTTCGCCTTGAGCTTCAATTTATTGTCACTGTATGAGACATAAACTGAGATTAACAAAACAAAATCACAGTAGCAACATCACAC